ACTAGACTATAGACTAGACTATAGACTAGACTATAGACTAGACCATAGACTAGACTATAGACTAGACTATAGGCTAGACTATAAACTATTCCATAGACTAGACTAGAGACTTGACTATATACTAGACAATAGACTACACTATAGAGTAGACTATAAACTAGGCTATGGGCTAGACTTGACTAGACTATAGACTAGACTACAAACTAGACTATAGAGTACACTATAGACTGAACTTTTAAATTAGTTAGTTAGTAGGTAAGTAAGGTAGTTAGGAATTTTCAAGGGCTCCCCCGCGACATACTTCCAATGCTGGCCGAACAAAATGGTAAAGCAAAGAACATTAGGAAGTCTTTGGATATGATGGAGCAGAGGATCTACGGCTGTGTAAGTGTTCTTTTGTACAGCTCTTATCCTGGGGAACAGCAAGTGGGAGCTGCCATTCAAACATCCAAATAAAGTCACATTCGGATTCAGTGAGGACACAACCACAAGATATGATCGTTGATTTCTCCCAACCTTAATTGATTAAATAAAACTATGCAATTTTCAATATAATTATTTTATAATTTATTTTTCTTATTTAAATATTTTGTTTTTTTTTTTTTTTTTTTGTTTTTAATTTATTTTTCATTAAATAACTTAATTTGGTATAAACGTATGTATACAATGTTTAATATATTTATATTTTGTTTTATTTTATATATATGTAATTGTTTATAATGAATATAAATTAATATTCAAAACAATTACAAAGTAATCTATAAAAGAATTTAAAATTATTAAATAAATTACAAATCTATATTAATTTTATGTATATTTTTTAATTTTTTGTTATTGTTTTTTTACATTATTATAAGAATATTTGTATATGTTTTAGGTATTTTTCTATAAAGTTTTTAATTCACATTTATAATATCGTTATTATTTATTTTATTTAAATTAAATTTAATTGTGTTTTTTTTTACAAAAAAGGCAAGTTTTATGTTGCATTTTAAAGTCTTTTATTTTAGTTTTTTTTTTTTAATATTTGTAAACTAGTATTAGTTTAAAATTTTAGACAAATAATATTGCAACAAAAAATGTTTTTTAATATAAAGTAGAGGCACATTTGCGAAAATGATTAGATTTATGAAAAATTAATTAATTTTGAATTTTGAAAATTTTATTAAAATGTTTCCAATTACTTTTTTTTTTTAATTCAGATTTTTTTTTTAAAAAAAGTATCATTTTAAATTTATGGAATTTGTTTTAAGGCAATTTTATTTATTTTTGTTCAGTGTAGGCACAGTTTTGAAATAATTTTCTTTTTTGCAGTTTCAGCTTTTATTTTAGAATTGATTTTTTTATAATTAATTCTTTGGTTTTAAGAAGAAAAAAACTTAATTTATAAAAAATTTTAAAAAAAATAACGGAGGGCTAAATTAAAACAAAAAAATAGCATTAGCTCATGTTTATAAAACGTTTATTACAAACATCTATAAAGAAATTTTATTGGTTTAAATGTGATGTTTAAATTAAAAATTATTAAATTAAATTAAATATTTTAAATAATAAACAAAATTACACTGAACCAAATTGTTTTGTTAAGTTAATAATAAACTATTGCAGCATATGAACTTTATATTTGAACTCTATTGTTTGTTTTTTTATGTTATTTGTACTGTAAAGTCGTTTATTTTTGTTAATTAATTTCAAATTTGAATACTGTTTTTGTATTCTAATGTTTTATTATGTGCTTTATAAGTTTTGTACGTTAAAAAGTATGTATATATGGAATCATAGAGCATTACCAAGAGTTGAAACAATTTCTCTCTAAGTTTTTGCTTTATGTTTGGAATTATAAGTAATTAAACTGCCTGGAAAAGAGGAATAGTATTGGAAACTTTTTGCAAAATATTTTCCTTTAGAAAGAATAAAATGATTTGTAAAATTTTAGTGTCGAATCAAAATATAAACAAAATGAGCTAAAGATTTTGAAATTCTACTATATTATTCCAACAATTGATTATTAGAAATCTAGAAAAGTTTGTGTTCAAGACTAAAGACTGATCTATTGTCGAGACTATAGACTGATATATAGTCGAAACTATAGACTGATCTATAGTCATGACTATAGGCTAATCAATAGTCTGGCCTATAGACTGATCAATAGTCAGGATTATAAACAAATCTATAATCAAGACTATACACTTATCTATGTATAGTAAAGACTAGATATTGATCTATAGCCGAGACTATAGCCAGATATATAGCCAAGACTCTAGATTGATCTGTAGTCAAGGATCCAGATTGATCTATAGTCTCGACTATAGACTGATCTATAGGCAAGACTATAGATCGATATATAGCCAAGACTATAGACTATCTATAGTCCAGACTATAGATTGATCTATAGTCAAGAATATAGAATGATTTATAGTCAAGATTATAGACTGATTTATAGTAAAGACTATAGACTAATCTATTATCAGGACTATAGACTGATCTATAGCCAAGACATTAGAATGATATATAGTCGAGACTATAGATTAAACTATAGTCAATACTATAGACTGATCTATAGTCAAGTCTATAGACTGATATATAGTCAAGACTATAGACTGATCTATAGTCAAGACTATAGACTGATCTATAGTCGAAACTATAGACTGATCTATAGTCATGACTATAGACTAATCAATAGTCAAGCCTATAGACTGATCAACAGTCAGGATTAGAGACAAATCTATAATCAAGCCTATACACTTATCTATGTATAGTAAAGACTAGATATTGATCTATAGCCGAGACTATAGGCAGATCTATAGTCAAGACTCTAGATTGATCTATAGTCGCGACTATAGATTGATCTATAGCCAAGACTATAGATTGATATATAGCCAAGACTATAGACTGATCTATAGTCCAGACTATAGATTGATCTATAGTCAAGAATATAGAATGATTTATAGTCAAGATTATAGACTGATTTATTATCAAGACTATAGACTGATTTATAGTAAAGACTATAGACTAATCTTTTATCAAGACTATAGACTGATCTATAGTCAAGACATTAGAATGATATATAGCCGAGACTATAGATTAAACTATAGTCAATACTATAGACTGATCTATAGTCAAGTCTATAGACTGATCTATAGTCGAGACTATAAAATGATCTATAGTCGAAACTATAGACCGTTCTATTGTCAAGACTATAGACTAATCTATAGTCAAGACTATAGACTGATCTATAGTCAAGACTATAGACTGATCTATAGTCAAGACTATAGACTGATCTATAGTCGAGACTACAAAATGATCTATAGTCGAGTCTTTAGACTGATTAATTCTATAAGACTGTTCTATAGTTAAGATTATAGACTAATCTATAGTCAAGATTATAGACTGATCTATAGTCAAGACTATAGACTGATCTATAGTCAAGACTATAGACTGATCTATAGTCAAGGCTATAGACCGATCACAGTCAAGGCTATAGACTGATCTATAGTCAAGTCTATAGACTGATCTATAGTCAAGCCTATAGACTGATCTATAGTCAAGTCTATAGAATGATCTATAGTCAAGTATATAGACTGATCTATAGTCAAGCCTATAGACTGATCTATAGTCAAGTCTATAGACTAATCTATAGTCAAGTCTATAGACTGATCTATAGTCAAGTCTATAGACTGATCATAGTCAAGTCTATAGACTGATCTATATTCAAGACTATAGACTGATCTAATTCGTGCACATACTGATCTATGAAGGCTTCTATAAGCTTCTATGATCCATAGTCTAGACAATAAACTGATCTATAGTCTAGACGTTAAACTGCTATATAGTCTAGACCCTATAGACTGATCAAACTTTCTTCTTATCAGGGAAATTTCTAGACCTTTTGCTAAGTTTTAATTTAAATTCTTTCCAAAGAATGAATTCTGAGAAAAATTTGTTCATAAACGAACTCAGTTCCAAGTTTTTCACGTTACACTTTTCATCTCGTTGAAATGTTTCATTTAAATATCTCCTCCGTTTTTGGAATATTCATCAAAAAAGTTAAAAATGTTCCAAAATTAGACGATATGTTCGAAAAATATTTAAAATAATCTCTTGATCAGAAGGATTCTTAACTTTTTGTGGACATTTCCATTCGAAATTTTAAAGTTATTTTGCAAAAATATTAAAAACTGTAAAAATAACTCACAAATATCCAATTTTAGTTTTATTTTGAGACAAAATTTCGAGATCAAAAATTAAGAAAATAATTTTAAGTTTTCATGCATTTCTAGAAAATGTCAGAAAAAAATGTGTAAAACAAAATAAAAGAAGAAAATAAGTATTCCCGGCAGTTTAGAAAAAAATCTATGTATTTTAAAATCTATTATTTTTTATTAAAAAAAAACAAATTTGGTCCAGTTAATTTTTTTTCAACAATACATAAATGTAATATTTACACAAAAAACTAGAAATTAAAAAATAAAATTATAATACAAAAATAAATATAATACAGTTACAAAATTTAAATAATTGCAATAATAATTAGTAATAATAATAATAAAGTAATAATAATATCACACACAAATCAAGTGGGGTAGAGAGTAAGAGAAAACTAAGGCAAATTGAAATTGTTACATATTTTTTTGTTAATAATATTTTAAACAAAACTTAAATTTACTAAAGAAAAAGGAAAAACAAGTTGTGTATTTACAAAAGTCAATGCAAGAAATAGAAACTTAAAACGAATCACTGGTTATTAAAACTAAATTATTAAATTAAATAATAACAAAAAAAATTTTTAAGCTGCATTGCAGTGTAATGAAGCTGCGTTTTTTGTTCATGTTTGGTTTTAAACAAACTTTAACTTAAATCTAAAAAAAAATAATTTAGTGATTTTTTATGTTTTTGTTTTGTTATTTGTTTTGACATCATAATGAAACAGTCTTTATATTTGGTTTGAAGACAACAAACTGTCGATTTGGTTTTTAGTTTTCTAACTTCTTTGTTTTTTT